GGGTCTGAGGTGGGAAAGGGGAGGGGGCGGGGTGTGGAGAGAGGCCGGGTCTGAGGCGGGAACGGGGAGGGGGCGGGGCCTGAGCTTCCATCCTCCTTGCTGTCAACCCGTTTCCCGGGTTGGATGTCGCCCTGGCATTTTTGGTGTCCAGGTAGCCATGTTAATGTTTCCAGCAGTGTTAAGCTACGAGCAGTGTTGTGTAGGCCACTTACGTTGGAAAACAGAATGTTTTCCTCTTACTAAGTTGAGAATGGCTTATGTTGTGAACTAAAATAAAATCTTAAGGCTCACCCCCCAAGCGCTGACTCAATGGACCCCCTCTTGGCCAAGGGAATATCCTAAAACTAAACTGCCTGCCTGGAGGAGGGAGGTCAGACATGCCTCATCCGGGCCCGCTCCCTTCTTGGGGACATCCTTTGTAACCCATTACAGGCCTAAGGGTGTGCACGACAACCCTGCAGGTCCTGAATGTACACACCAAGTGTATGTCCCGCGGCTTAGCTCGGATACACGGCTCCTTCTGTTACAACATTCCAAGCCTTTAGACAAGGCTTCATGTCTCTAACCAAGTACAAGCCCAAGAATCCTTACACCCACCTGTAACCTGTGAGCCCCCCTCTTCCAGATGGCCCACCTTTTCGGGCCAATGTGTGCCTCCCACATATGGCTTCATGCCTTTACCTGTCACCCCTGTCTCCCTGAAATGTCTCGGACCAAACTGAAACCCAACCACAGCGAATCCACCTGCTCAGGGCCTCTTGGGCGTGGCTCCGGGTTATGATCCTCAGATTTGGCTCACAGTAAATCTCTTTAAAATTATTGCCCAGGGTTCGGCTCTTTTTCCGTTAACAACGTGAACAGTGACTGCATCCAGGAAAGTTCGTGCAATTAAAACTAATTCAAGCAATTTAATGTAGAAGCCCTGAAATTATCTGTGACGGGGCTACAAACTAGAATGTGAGGTGCGGCTCTCTGCCCGGAGGGAAATGTGTCGTTTCATGCTTAGAGCCCAACAGAACCACCTTTCCGTTCCTCTTCCCCATTCGCCCCACTGAGAGCCAGCCAAGCTGCGCTCAGTTTCGGAAACTCTCATAGGTACGACACCCGGGGTGTGGGCCTTGGAAGGCTAAAGCCCGCAATAAATTAGATCAGAAACTGTTGCTTTAAAACAAGAACTTTTAAAAAACAGACATATATTGCATTGTTCTTCCTTACACTGATAAGGAAAACCCCCATCTGTTACTTGGCACATCGGCCACCTGAGACCCCCACCCCTCACGGAACACCCCCATCAGCGTAATACTAACCTATTACCTGGTGCATCAGCATAACACTAAATCTATTACCTGACACATCAACTAACCTATTACCTGGTGGGCATTAACCACCTGACACCCTATCCCCAGACCACCACAACTTAATAAACGTGGGAAAAATCGGGTAGACGGTGCTCGGAATTTGGCGGCGAGGTCCCTCTGAGCCCGCCGGCGAATAAACTTGGATTCTCCGGCTCTCCGTGTGCCGCCCGGTTTGTCCTCGGGACCACTTGCTGTAACACTTGCTGTAACAATACTTGTAATTCCATTCCACGTTTGAGATCACTTAACCTCAAATAACTTTAGATAAACTTTATGTCATAGTATGTTTAAGTCAATAATTTTCAAATGTCATTTCAAATTCACTTTATGTGTACCCTGAGGGTAAGTGGACAATATACTTTTAATTTTAAAATTGTAATCTATCTTAGGTCTTTGTTTTCTATTTCTCCATGTTTTCTCAGATGTGGATAACAAAGTCTGGGAAATAGTCACTAAAGGACATTTGGATTTATTTTCACTTAGAGAATAAATAATTTTGCACTATTTCTAATGGTATTTTGTAGGGAGGTTATTCTCTTTCATACGAACCTCGAAGAAATAAAAACTAGATTATCAGGTTTAAATGACTGCATTTCTTCCAGCAATAATTTTATGGCAATATCTGTGAGTTAAACAACTACCATGAAGTATGTTTTTTTTTTTTTATCACATCCCTATATGTGGAAGATTTCATCCATCCAGAAGTGTTAACCAATTGAAATATGATCATATTTAGATAGGAAAATTAGCGTATTTAAAATCTTTTCAGTCTAAAAGAATAGGATGTCCTGGCATTGCACAGATGAATACAAGAGGACATATCAGTACATGTTTTAAAAGAGGTGATACCTAGGATAGATTCTGGGATCTCAACAAGGTAGCTTATTCTGTATTATGCAATATTGCTAACTAGTGTAATGTTGCCTCGACACAAGTGTCAGCATGGATTTCTTTAATCAGGAGCAAATAAAATGAGTTGACTGTGGAGCTATTCATTGTATTCAGAATAGCAGAGTTATGGGAAGCTGAATATAGGTGAGAGTTATGCATCTATTTTGTTTATGTGGAGTTTTGATGCTTATAAAATTTTCAAGGGAACAAAATGGACATATTTACAAGAAACATAAAAGGTATTTCCTCCATCCCAGAACAGTTCTCCCTGTAATACCGCTATAAAACAAATGCAAATTATTAAGCATTTGAAAAATACTACTTTTACCCATTGAGTATATATTAAATCCCGTGCCACACAAGGAGACTATACATATTCTAACACAATGGAACAATTAAAATATTTACCACTCTTGGCCGGGCGCGGTAGCTCACGCCTGTAATCCTAGCACTCTGGAAGGCCGAGGCGGGCGGATTGTTTGAGCTCAGGAGTTCAAGACCAGCCTGAGCAAGAGCGAGACCCCGTCTCTACTA